CTTCCCAGCTAGCAAATAAAACGGGAAGATTGTCTAAAAGAGAAAAACAGGCAAACCTACTTACAATGAAGCCTGGTTGTATATGACCAACCAGATTAACTCTATTGAATTAGAAATGAACAACAGGGATTCCAAATTCCATAACACAAAATGATACCTTAAACATTTCTGTGGAAATCCCACTGAAGAATAAAGTCGTTTAGAGCCCCCCCAATAAAAAACAACAACAAAGAATAAATATGATTAAAAGCTATAAAATCATGACTAGTGGGAATTCACTAAATCCATGTGTGACAGAACTGAGGGCTAGCCCTTTAAGTTTACAGGAGGAAACCGTATGAACAAATGAAAAGCTGTAGTTTCCACACCACAAGCATTACATGCGAGAACCCACGAAGTACAAAACGAAACAGAAATGGCTTAAGAGCATCTAGATTTATGGACAATGTAGCTTCAATGGGGTCTGTGAGGAGGCTCTGGCAGCTTTATGGTGGCAAAAGAGGGTTCTTTGTGAAGGATGTCAACGTCCTGAGGATGTCAAGGAAACCATAATATACAGACTGTCTTCCCCCAGCAGCTCCGCTCCTATTTAAATACACTAGTTTTCGGTGATGACAATCAAATTCTGTCCAACCGTGTTGGCCTGCAGACACCTGTGCCTCGTTTCCCAGAACAACTCTCCCTTATTCTGCACTGGGCCTGCATCCCTCTGTCGTGGGCACAGGTGCCAGCTGACCGTCCTTTCCTGATTGAATGTTCGGCAAAAAGTAAAATCGAGTCTTAGAACGTCTCCTTTTATAATCATCGTTCCTGACTTGTTTCTAAGAAAATAGATTCAACAGGGTCTCCCCAAAGGCCAACAGACATCACTTGTATTTTAGATATGTAAGTAAGCGAATGACCAGTCTTCATCTGTCTAGACATAGTCACACTGGCAGGCCTACAGGGACCGGACAGGCGATAAAAAAATGAGTCAAGTGGGTTGGATGGAAATAACAGGAAGTTGTGACGATGGTAAACTAAACATGTACACTCCTAAAGCAATCTAATTCACATTTTTAAAAAACACTGAGAAACAAACTTGCAGACTGGATAGATCATGCAGGACCCTCTAATTCCCACAGAAAACAGCCAAGTCAGAAGCCAGTGCTTACCTTCAGATAAGCGGACAGGATAGTGTCCTCTTTGTCAACTTCAATTCATATGCACCTCCTAAACCTCTGCTCTTAAAATAGAAATCCAGCTATGGCATTGCGAATGTTCTGGGAGACTTAGGTATCATTAAAAGGTACTTGGTGGTTCTTACTGAAGGAAGTGTTTTGTCGGTATAAGAAAGTACAAGAACAGGCACCATTTGAGACTGATAAAGGCAGGCAGGTTCCTATGCACGGAAGCTTACCGTGTAGGGGAGACAGGTGTTCTGACAGCATGCAGGAGATCAGTGTAGGTCTAAACAGTCAGGCAATGGTCACAGCTGAGAATAATTTGTCCCAGCTGTATGGAAAATACGCCCTGTATGGAGGCAAGCTGACACTATCCTCTTTATAAAATCTGAGGTCTAAAAGTGCTCTCCGAGCCAACTTAGGGCATGGTGGTAAGGGCACTGGATCCCATGTGGCTAACTGTATGGTTCGAGTCCCGGACTGGGTGGCTTGAAAGACACTGGATACAAGTGTATGCACGGCCAAAACCCTGTGAGGAGATGGGGAAGAAAGGACTGAGGCCTGACCATGCCCTGCCCCCGGGGAGGGCTTTCTTACTTTCTCTCTTGCCCTCAACATCCGGTGAGCACACATGCCCCATTGAAAATGTTTAAATGAAATAAAACAAGAGGGCCCTCAGCTGCATTTCTGGACCCCTGTTTTCTAGAAAGGACAGTGAAGCTGGTCATAAAATTAGTTAGTGGCAAAGGCAGAAGTATATTTCCATCCAGTGCTCTTCCCTGGTAGCGTACTGCCTCTGATCTTCTCAAAACCAGCAGATACACCATGAACCTTAAACATATTGGTTTCCAAGAAGTCACCTGATCCAGTCATCTTTCAACATATTTCCTGAGGGATGATGAGCTAGACGCTAGGAGTCTAAGTGGCTGACTACAGCAAAAATAATCCTACCCTGATGGAAATTCAGCGTCACCAGAAATTTGATGTTTTCAACACGAGGCCAACACAGTTCAAAGCTCATAACATATTCTTCTCCTCTTGTCTTCCACTAATGGGATACAATCTGGAACTAACTCCTCCATTTCATACTGGAGATGGCAGTCTCTCCCGTGGTTTATGTAATAATGTTAACATTTATCATTTTTATATTTGCTCATTAAACTGTTAGAGATTCTTCATGATGAAAGGTAGGAAAAAACTACTCCTGCCAGGACTCTGTCATCAAATATATCTCAGACTTCCACACTTCAGCTAACTTTTTTCTTGCCAAAGCTACTCGAAGTGGGGCAGCTTCTTCCTCTAATATTGCTACATATGCAGTTTGAGGTTCCCTAATCCTCCGCCCGTTTATCACGCTGCATATAGCTTCACCTTTTAATAAAAAGATAAAGGTCACCTAGCATCCTCTATTGTAATGGGGATTGCCAAGGACAATAGATTATTGAAAAGTCGGGATTCTCACAACTTTCAAACCATTACTATTTACTCTGTCAATTTCTCTTAAAATGGCAATTGTTTTTAATGCTTAAGAACAGACATCACTCTGAGAAACGATACCTGTAAGCTATATATTTAAATATCTACTAGGTAAATACCGTGCAAATACGGTTTGCATCGCAAATTCCACATGTGGGAGTAAATGTTATTAACAGTGAAAGTTTCAGTGAATAAACGCTAACATGTGTGTGTTCTATGCAGCTGTGAATTAATAAATTTGAAGCCGCATCTGAGCCATCCTCCCTCCATAAGCCACAAGTTGGAGGACGGGGCATGGGGTGTGAACGTAATTTTCATCACGGCTTTGCAAAGCCCCACTTCCCAGTTCTAATGGGATGCCTCTCTCTTTCTCTGCCTTTTCACATTGGCTAAGAAACAGATGGTAACAAGTCAGTGCCACGACATATGCCCCAAGGTCTTTGCGTCCAAACGTTTTTGTCTCAGGAAGTACAAGATCCTTGGACAACTTCATGGAAACGGTTGGGTGGATGGGCACGTTTGGGGTCAGGGGGTTGACTATGCCGTTCACAGAGTCACACACTTCTGCTCCGCTTTCTCCACAGCCAGGACAGGACATCCTAAGATGACTTGCCATGGCCCATGGGCAACAGACACTAGGTACTCCCGATGGCAGAATTTCCAGCCAATATCCTACTTCGGAAAATGGGGCTTTGGAGGAGCCACACCGATCTTTTTAAATATTGATTTTCTGTGGCAAAACACATCCATTCGACAACGGTCAACTAAAATCTGATCCTACGTGGGACAGCAGGTGCCCTTTCTGTTACCGGCAACAGCAACAAAAATCACACGAGCCAACTCAGGCTAGCTGAGTATCGAGCATCTACATAAAACTTCACATAGACTCAACATCCTAGTCGGTCCCACTGTAATCCTGTTTACATGTGAGAATACGGAGACGCAGAGAATGCAAGTCCTTTACCCAAAGTCACGCAGCTAACAAGCAGGAGGGGGAGGCAAACCCAGGCAGTTTGAATTTAGAATCCACATTATGATCTGCTGTACTAGATCCAAACACTATAGTAATTGAAAGCAGATTTCACTCATCTTCAGCCTACTACCCAAGTAGAACAGACAGTACTTTATACAGCAATCGAACCCTTCTGATAGGTGGTTGATGACACTGAAACGGAAATACACCTTCCTTTAAATGAAGATGCTTTCTCATAGGTATCAAAACAAATTCAGCAGGTTTTTTTTTTTTTTTTTTTTTTTTTACAATTAAGGTCACTCACAACTTCTTCTCATTCTACATTTAATGTATGTCAGGAAAACAGCACAATTAGTGTTGGTTTTAGTTAGCATCAAATTATAAAGTCCTTTTAGAAGCCACAACAATATATCCCATGCTGTCTAAGGAAATAATAGAATACCACAGTTCTAATCCATAAGAATTAGGAATTAGTTGAAATTCATTTAAAAAGCATGCTCAAAAAACAAAGTCCATCCAGCAGTCCTTATTACACAGAACGCTGGGTGTACACAGATACTGGATTTATGTAAGAAGTGAATTCAACAGTAATCTTACCAATAGATTTTCTTTCATTTCGCTTGGCACTTTTGATATTATTTTATTTCCCCTTTTTTACATTCACTTTTTTTTGCTTATTTCTGAAACACAAAACTTACTACTTCTGAATATACTAATGTTTTGTCTTTACAATTTTCATCATTCAAGTCCAAATAATGAACTTCCAAACATTTTAAACTCAGCATCACAAAATCCTTGCAAACTCTAGAAGACAATACTTTAGGGTAAGAATTAATTTGCATGACAAAGCAAAATGTTTTAGTGTCCTTTAAGACACCCTAACTTACAGAAATCAGGTATTCTAAATAATTCCCAAGTATTCAAATTACATGGAACAGACCATGAATTCATCCCATTATCTGAAGACCTCACCAAGATCAAACACTTTACAAAAGTGTATTTTTACCCTTAATGGTAAATTTAATATAGACTGAAGGAGTCTTTGTTAAGCACACATCATTTTCTCTCCCTCTTGGTCTGCATTAAACATCACACAAATGAACAGCAAGCATCTAGAATTAGACGGAACTATACATCACCCATTCATTCTCTAACGAGAACGAACATTTAAGAAAAGGAAACCCTTCTGCTATTTAGCTCAAAGAGAAACCCAGAGAGGTTCATGACATCTAAAAATCCCCCTCATCCAATGCTAAGTGACACCTTCCTCCATTCCAGTTCTGAGAAAGGTCGCTTACACATTAATTCTGGGCTGGCCATGAACGCTATTTTCTGAATAATCTCAAACAGTTTAAAAGCAGCGAGTAGCTTGTAAATTAGCTTGTTCTGACACAGCTGCCTTCAGCACAGAGCTCAGAAAAGAGGTAGGTCTCTCTTTCCCCTTCCATTTCAGACTTTCCTAACGTTTTCGTGAGTTGTTCAATGCCACAAAAGAATCAATCTTATAAAGAACTACTTCACACTGATGTGTATATAAAAGTGCTGGTGGACCAAAAGACAGATTTCATTTTGCAAATTACTTCCATTTATTTTAAGGTCTAACATACTCAGAAATCTTAATAACTCTAAGCCATGAAAAGCTCCCGGGTAAATTATATTCCTTAATGTTATAGCCGAGCCTCATGTGAGATGAGATGTTGGAAAAACAGGGGACTATTCATTTCTGTCAAATCTGGAGAGGAAGTCCTTAGACAGTCAATGCTACCTAATCACAAAGAGTAGAGATTTACAGCACATATAAATTGCACAATTGCATTTTACCTTCTTGGCCCCAGAGTCGTTTGCATTCAGAGTCTTGACTTATATGGGGAAGATCACTTGGACTCGGTTTCTACGACTTCCTAGTTGGATGTCCGCGCACGTTAATTTAAGGAACAAACAAACACAAACAAATAAAAAACAAACAAACCAAAAAAAAAAAAAAGAGCCCAGACATAGTGATGCATCCTTAATGCGCACGCTACAGCGCCAGGAGCCATTTGGCAGACTGGGGTTCGTTTCTCGGGTTGGCTTATAAGCGCGCACGCACGTGTCTCTGAACCCTGCTGATTGGACACGGCTGGGGTGGGAGGGGTGGGATCACAGGTGAGACCTTGCTGAGGGTGCTTCTCTCTCTTTCAATAAATAAGCTTAAAAAAAAGAAAAATAAAAAAAAACTAAGAAGAAACATGTGAAAATATTTTTTTTAAAAAAGTGTTTTCTGGGGCCAGCAGGTAGCTGGTGGTTAAGGTGCTGGGCACTCCCACATGGATGACCATGGTTCGAGTCCTGGACCTGGTGGCTTGCTTTTGCACTTTCTCTTTCTCTTTCTCATCAAAATAAAAGAATAAATAAATGAATAAATAAAATTGAAGAAATAATTCTTAAAAATCAGTGTTTTTTCTAAGAGAGGGTCTCAATGTTCCTTTCACATAAAAGGCACTCCATAACTACTTTTGCATATTTTTCCTGGGACCCACAGGTGTCCATGGTTAATTACAGTGACACTGAGTTTCCTAAGGCATGACTGTTAAAATACTATCGTTTTCTATATGCATGATGTGAGATAACTTGAAAACCACCACACCAGGTCTTCCAAAATTAAGTATCAACATGATCATGAACAGTGAAAGAATTAATCAGGAAAAGCATAAAAAGAAAACCAGGTGTTTAAGGCATAGTCAACGCTCGATTTCCTTTTTAAAGAAATGCTTGCTTTCAGATTGTATTCTCTTTTTTAGAAGGCATTATGGCATTTTGCATGTTTTGGTTTTTGTTAAGGCCTTTTGTCATTTTTTGGTTATTCTTACATGTGGTCTGCCAATGAACAGCAATTGCATAAACACACTTTAGACGACATTCATTTCCTGACAATCTCCGCACTTCCCATTCCATGCTTCTCTCATCTAAAGCAGTGCTGTGTTACACGGCGACGCTGAACTACTGTAATGGCTTCTCATATGCCTAGAACCATAATCAGAGAGATACTTGCTTCCAAGAACATCTATTAATTTTTTTAAGACACACTTTTTCATAATAAGAGCCTTAACGGAAAAGTAATACAAATAATATTACCCAAATGTGGATATAGGCATTAGCACCACGTAACACATAATAAATTTCACAGTGGCATTTTACCTTTTTTTGGCTCCCGGAGCCTTTTGAGTGTATATTATTGACTTGAACACACCACCCGTGGAATTTAATCAGTCAGGCTATAGTATTCTAACACTTGAACATTTAGTGTTTTCATTTCCAAATATATAAAAGTAGAAGGGTCTCTGAACTCCTGAGCTTGCAATTTAAATTTAAGCTTAAAAGCTGTAACTCTTATATGGGCTTCTAACACTTACCCTTTACGTATTCTGACCTTTAGATGTGATTGGTTTTGCAAACGCCACAGGTGTGAATTATTTGTAGTCTCATACCTGAGTAAATTAGGATCTGAAATTAAACTGGTTAACATGAATAAATTAAAACAATGATTGTTTCTTATACACAGTAACAAATCTCTTTGACCAGATATTCTAAAAAGAAAACTGGAAGCTAGGGGACGTGGGATTTTTTTTTTTTTAAACAATAGTTTGATATGCAAATTTGGGCATACCATTTAATTTCTAGTGGTCTCGATTTCTTCATCTGCCAAGCAAGGAAACAAAGTTAAATTTGTAAAGGTTCCTGCCAGTTCTCAAATCCATGATCTTATTTAAATCTTTTCCTCAAATGAATTAAATGGAGAGTTAATAAATCGCCTGAGATTAAATCTGATGATATGAGAGAGGTTTTGTTAGAGGGAAAAAAGGGACCTGTATCTTGGCGAAATTTTTAAAATATTAGCTCTAGCCAAGTTAAAGCTGTTTGAATCTGACAGATTGTTCTGCAAATGACATTATTATGTGAATATAGCACTGGGCCATATTTGGGAAGTAGCTGAAGTAGGAAAACAAAATAGAAGTACCACAGCTTTATGTATGCCACGCTTCAGAAAAATCACACATCACTTTGATTAAAGTTCAACACAGATACACTTAAAACTCAGCAGAGGTGACCATCCTAATGCAGAAGGATTATTTCTCCACCTATCTGGTACAACCAGTCTCCACACTCCCATGATAAGATTTCATCTATTCAGAGGCCAGCAGGCGGCATGAAGGATAAGACACTAGATCCCACCTGGCTGACTCCACCATTTCAGTCCCAACTAGGTGGCTTGGAAATCACACCAAGGGTGTGGCAAGCATGCCCAAGATTCCAAGTGGAGAATGGGGGAGAAAGAATTGCAGGGTGACCATTTTCCCCCAGGGTAAGGGACAGATTTCTCTCTCTTTCTCTCTGTAGAGCACACTACGCCTTTTAGAGATCCTTCTACAAAGAATATATTCAAGGTAACAGGCACGCCTCCATTTTAGAGTTCCCTCTACAAAGAATATATACAATGTAAAGAAGCCGGAGGATGTAAATTGCTACTAACAATGTGTACAAACTATTAAAAACATAGAAAAGGAATGTCTGAATTCTCAGTCCACCTTGATGTTCTCATTCAAATTTGTCATAGAGCAGACACTGCACCTGCCAGCCAAAACTTGATAATGAACAGAGAAACTTACTGCAGAAGTCTCTTATCAGTGCAGCTCCCTTGAGGCCAAAAGTATTGATCTCTTTCATTGAATAAATACTAAAGTAACAACAAGAATCCATTAGGTCTGACCTAACAAGAATTTTTAATTGAACAAGTTACTCTCTGAATGCTCAAGAAAGAGTGGATACAGTATCACTTACCAATCTCTTCCTACAACTCTAGGTATAAAGGGCAAATAATGAATGAGTTGACAAAATTAGTCATTTTCCCAACAGGGCTTCCAAACAAACGTCTCCATTTAAAGAATGAATATAGTTTTTGTCATGTGAAAAACCTGATCGTATATTTTCCACAGACTAGTAGCAATGTTTCTCAAAGAATTATCTTGCTCAATTAATAAAACGATGCATTATAGGTTTAACATTTCACATAATGCCTATTTCCAAATACATGTCAATTTTAATATGTTGCACACAACTGGAATAAAATCAAAAGGAAGGTCATCTCCTCTTTGAAAGTGGTTATTAGCTACACAAAGGCATGCTAGCAACTAGATATTAAAAATGTCAGAACCAAGACCAGCAGTTGGCATAATGGCTTTGTTGCTGGACTCCCATGTAGTCGACCATGGTTCAAGTCCCAGACCCAGTGGCTTAAACTCACGACGGGCACATGTGCATGCATGCCCAAGATCCCAAGAGGAGAATGAAGGAGAAGGGATTGTGGCATGGCCATGCCCCCTGGGGGGTGATTTCTCGCTTTCTGCCTCTCTGTCTCTCTCTGTCTTTCTGGTGAGCGCATATGCCCTATAGCAAAAACCTCTTAAATTTTTTTTTCCTCTAAGAAATGTAAAAACATGAACATCTTTGCTAAACTCTAGCGTTTATCTCACATAAATGGTTTGAGTCTAATGCTTCTTATATACTACCACAGACTGACCCTAGGCTAAAACAAAACAGGTAAAAAGATGGATATTTGGTTAGATTAATCAGCAAATAAAAGGGATGATTCCTCTTGAGACAAAACATTGAATTTTGTATCTACATAGAAGAAATAAATTAGAGAAAACCTGCAATTAATTGAAATTGGAATGGTAGGCTTGCGACTTTTGCACTAGAAGACTTTGTCCACTCCAAATACAAAACCGTTTCAAAAGAATAAAAGCAGTGTTACTTACTGAGACATGTTCCTTCCAACAGTACCTATACATTTTTAAATTCTGCCCAATTCATACGTAGGATTAATAAACAAATGAAAATAAATGTACAGTTTCTACAAAGAGTAAATCCAGAGGTCCACAGGTGGTATGGTAGTTAAAGGTGCTGGATTTCCACAAGGCTGACCACGATGCAAGTCCCAGACCTGGTGGCTTGCCTTCTCTGTCTCTCTCTCTGATAAAATTTTAAAATAACAATAATAATAATAATAAAGTGTAAAAAGTAAATCCATGTTCTAGAGAACCAGTCGTACATTACATGACATCATTTAAAAAATGGCACATCAGCCTATCTGGTAATTGTACATAGTCATAAGTTTCAAGGTCAGGTATGGAGTTTTCTTGCCAAGATTTTGTAGTAAGAATATTCTCATATACATCCATAACACTTAGTTAAGATATCATATTTTGAAAAGCATTTTCAACACCTCTTTGCAAATATGGGCAAGTCTACTTACTGTATTCTGACAATAATTTTAATAAAACTGAAATTAAAAAAGTGAGGATAACTAAATATTCCACGTCCTCTTTCAGTTTGAGACAGGTGACACCAACTCTGAAATACATACAGAGATGCAGTCCACGTACAACTCCCCTTTTAACTGACAGTCTCACAGATTTATAAAGACTACATGAGAGAGGGAAA